TTCTCTTGCATCAGGAGCACAAGGAATTACTCAAAGAACTGATACAGGAGCGTCTTGACCAGGGAGTCGGCGAAACCTTGTTTGAGATTGGCATTGACGGTATTTCTGCTCAACAAAGACCTCAAATCAATGGACTTGACTGAAGATGAGTTTGCTGGTGTCGTCAAGTACCTCGATCAAGTCGCCAACGAACTCGATGCTGACACTTGCTTATTGCATCAGCGACAGACCAAAATCCTTCAGACGAGCGACAAGGAAGTGGAGACGACTGACAAGAAGCCATTCTTTGGACACATGCTCATTCGTAAGCGTGCTGGTGAAGTCGAGAATCTTCTAGAGCTTCGTATTTCTGTCGTTGGCAATGTCGATGCTGGAAAATCAACGCTTTTGGGTGTCTTGACCAAGAACACACTCGATGATGGCAGAGGCAAGGCCAGACTGAACCTTTTCAAGCACAAGCACGAGATCGAGTCTGGCAGAACGTCTTCGGTTGGTTTGGAAGTCATGGGTTTCGACTCCAAAGCTACGGTTATTAGTGGTACTTCTATTGGAAAGCAAAAGATTACCTGGGAAGACGTTTACACGCATGCGTCCAAAGTTATCACGTTTTTGGATCTTGCTGGACACGAAAAGTATCTCAAGACGACTGTCTTTGGTATGACAGGATGCTCTCCTGACTTTGTCATGCTCATGGTTGGTGCCAATGCCGGCATCATTGGCATGACCAAAGAACATCTTGGTTTGGCCTTGGCTTTGCAAGTCCCAGTCTTTATAGTTGTGACCAAGATTGACATGTGCCCTGCCAATGTCTTGGAGAATACCATCTCCCAGATCAACAAGATTCTCAAGTCCAACGGATGTCGCAAGATGCCCTTGTTTGTCAAGAACCAGGCAGATGTCTTGATGTCCGCAACACACTTTGTGAGCGAGCGGTACTGTTTTTGATGTTAGTCTCTGTCCAGTCTTCCAAGTGTCGAATGTTGACGGCCGTGGCTTGGATCTCTTGCGCACGTTCTTGAATCTCCTGCATTCAAATCTGCGGCACAAGTACGATGTCAATGCTCCAGTAGAGTACATGATCACTGATACTTTTTCCGTTCCTGGCGTTGGTACCGTTGTTTCTGGTACGATTGCTTCTGGCATCGTCCATGCTGGTGACACTCTTCTTCTTGGACCTGATTCTCTCGGCCAATTCGTTCCAACAGTTGTAAAGTCCATCCAACGCAAGCGTGTAAATACGACTGCGGCATATGCCGGACAGAGTGCCTCTTTTGCACTCAAGAAAGTCAAGCGCTCGTGCATCACCAAGGGAATGGTTATGGTGTCCAAATCCATGGAGCCAAAGGCAGTCATGGAGTTTGAGGCGGAAGTCTTGATTCTCTACCACTCCACGACGATTGGCAGCCGATATCAAGCCATGGTGCATTGTGGCGGTGTCCGTCAAACTGCACGAATCGTTGATCTCGACAAAGCCGTCCTGAGAACCGGTGACAGATCGATCGTTCGCTTCCGGTACTTGACTTGATCGTAGATTCATGCAAAAGCCAGAGTACCTCAAAGTCGGTGCTCGTTTGCTCTTCAGAGAGGGAAGGACAAAGGGTTTGGGCAAAGTCACTCGTCTGATATACGATGGTGAGCTCGTTGACAAGTAAATCAGCCCCTGATACTCTCTGTCTTGATCCATTATTCGGAAACGTAAGAACAAAGATTCAAAAGAGTACTATACTTGGAATATAGTAAACCAGGAGCCTCCGATCACAACCTCACCATAGCTCAGTTGGTAGAGCAACGGACTGTAATGCATAGTCATCCGTGTGTCCCGTGTTCGAATCACGGTGGTGAGATTCACTTTTTCTTTTTTCTCTTTCATCCTTTTCATCTCTGAAGTTGCTGTTCTATATCAGAAGTGGAGGCTCGAATCTTTTTGAACAGATCACAAATTGAAAACAAGAATTTATGGAACGCTCTATCGGCACACTGGAGTGGTGGATGGACGCTGAGCAGCTTTGGATGGGTTGGTAGCAGTGCATCCAGAGGAGAAGAAGTCAGGCTGAGCAGCAGTGAAAGCAGCACCACAGTTTGGATCAGAAGCACCACCAGAGGCGTTGTTGAACCAGGAGCAGACATCGTGCGTGTAGCAAGCGAGCGTGTACTGGTTGCCGTTGAGAGCGAAACCAGTGCAACCGGCACCACATCTACCGTTGCAGCTGTAGTCTCCACCGTTGACAGCGTTTCTGCCAAAGTTAGATCCGACAGCGCCAGTGAAGGTACAAGTCTTGCCTTGAGCATTGCGCCAAGAAGCAGTCACGGTTTGGCCTGGCTTCACGCAAGTAGCAGCAGAGACAGCTCCAAAGAGAGCAAAAGTAAGCAAGAGATTTTGGAAAGAGTTGGAAGCTTGAGAAGACATGAGTGTGGGGTAGATGGTTCAGATGACGCGAATTTATACTTCCAAGGGCCGAGAGCCTGCTAGTGATTGGACAGGGCATACAATGGGCTTTTATGTGATTGGCGCGATTTTCGGGCCTGGGAAGAATCATCAGATCTGACTCCGAATTGTCACGAGGCTGATAACGGGGCACATTGGGGACAGCCGATGCGAATCTCCGCTCATCGCCGTAAGGAAAGTCGGTGCTTGGTCACAGGGTTGGGTTCCACTACCCCGTGACACGAGCAGGAAGATCTCCCAAGCGATCAATCACGAGATAGAACAATCAGCACAACCACATACTCCAGCGAGGCTGTGATTCACAGCCCAGTTGATTTCTTTGAGACCGAAGCACGCATCGTCCCTGAAGGTGTGTCTCGATTGTATATTCCTAAAGCACACTCTCCTGTCACTTGAGTATCATCATTTGCTGGTATCCTTGATTGCTTTTACTGGTTTCAAACACTTCGGCGATTTTTGGTTTATATAGGATGTCGTCTATCAAGCAGAACGTTTGGATTTAAGACAAGTCATTCTCAACCATACAATCCATACAAGTTCTGTATACAATTGCCTATTCGGGACCCGGCGCTCTTCGAAAGATCATCAAGCGGCCGTGTCAGTGTCACGGGAGACTGACTCGACCGCTCGGGCTCATCTTTCCGGTAGTATCTCTTCAGTGACTCCCTTCTTGTTCTGATACTATAGACTGCATTTATTCGGAACTACAAGACTCGATTATTGACAGACTGGCTGAGACGATGGAGGCTGGACCGGGTTGGAAGGATTGTCCTGACCACATCCCCACGTCAAAAAGTCTGGCTGAGCCTTTTTGAAAGCTGCACCGCAGTTTGGATCTGAGCCACCACCAGATGCATTGTAAAACCAAGAGCAGATGTCATGGGTGTAGCATGCCAACGTGTACTGGTTCTTGAAGAGAGAAATGCCGTTGCAGCTTGGACCGCAGCGACCGTTACAGTTGTATTCACCGCCATTCACGGTGTTTGAGCCAAAGAACGATCCCACAGTGCCAGTGAAGGAGCAGTTTTGATTCTGTGCGTTGGTCCAGATAGCAGTCACAGTTTGTCCAGGTTGCACACATATCTTGCCAGACACACTAGAAAAGTAGATCGAAAGCAACATGACCGGGACGGTCGCAGGGTCCATATATATCTGGTACGCTTTGACATCACACAGATCTTTGATAGATGCCATGACGCCATCACGCGGTGGCCTTGCGCGTTTGAGAACCATCAATCTCCGCCCGTCGCCGTGATTTGGGTCAATGCATCATCAGCTGACCATTTTCTCCATCAGTTGGAGCGATCTAGATCAGCGTCTTTCGAAATGTTCCAGAATGGGTATCTAATCTTTGGTCATGGTACACTGCAAGCGAGTCGCAAGAGGCTCTGACAAAGAAATGTTGTCATATTCAGAGTATCTCTTGCGACCAGCAGGCTATTCAGAGTGGTCAAGCTGCTGTCTGCAAAATTCCGGAGGTCTGTCCTGTCCTGTGAGAAGGAAAAAGAGCAGGCGAGCGATGTTGATGGCTGCTGACACATTTCGATCCCACATGGATCGATGACAATCGGGCAAGTGCTCGCATGTCCGCACATGTGTCTTGGTTTTGGGATTTTCTCCCTCCGCACCAAACATCTCCTGCTGGCAGCAGCAAGACAACTTGGAGGTTCGAAATTCGTCCACATCCACAATCACGCTCCCATCTCGTTCGATTCTCCAAGAAAGCTCCCTCTTGAGCTTTGAAGTGGGAACAGGCATGTTGCCTCTCCCAGAGGAAGAGAATTTGCGTTGCCCCACCCAGCCAAAGCAGGCTTGCCAAGAAGACGAAAGCACCGGCAAGCTTCTCATAGGCCTTTTGACTGGATGGACCTGCTGAACCGAAGACGGAGGAGCTTCTTCTGTGCATAAAAGTCGATCACCGGAGCCCCTTCGTTGTGTGGTTCAAGATCTTGGAGTATTTTGTAAGTTGCGTGGATCTGTGCCTTGATTGACTGCAGAATGGACTCGATCTCTCGGATTGAGATTGAGTCCTCTAACTGTTCAATCTCCAGTTCCACGTGTCTGCAGCATCTGCTCAACGGACAAGCGTTGTTCTATCTAATCCACCACAGCTGCTGGCATCCCACTCGATGCCAGATCTGTGACACTCTGGAACAGGAAGACAAGCTTCTCTGTCTCGTTAGTTTTCACAGCTTTGTCATCTGCAACATTGCGCAATGCTGTGAAATTATATTGTGCAATCTTGCACGCCTTTTGTAGTGTATCTGATCTTTCAACACCAAGTTCGGTAGCTTGCCTCCGTAAAGAAAACTATACCAGTATCGTCCATCACTTTGGACCCGGGGAACACTGATGCTTTCAATCACACGATCAGTACAATACGCTCTGAGACCAATACAGTCATTCAAGGTTTTTAGCTGCAAACCCTGTAGATCATCCAACATGCTGTCAGCGTCGGCAGATCGTGGCCATGTCATTCAACCAAAAACAGACCATCATTGCAGACTGAAAATGACATACGGAATATATTAAACCAGGAGCCTCCGATCACAACCTCACCATAGCTCAGTTGGTAGAGCAACGGACTGTAATGCATAGTCATCCGTGTGTCCCGTGTTCGAATCACGGTGGTGAGATTCACTTTTTCTTTTTTCTTGAATATCAAACATAGTCATGCATGTCTTGTGTTCGAATCTAGGTAGTGAGATTCGCTTTTTCTTTTCGATTGATATTCAAAAGATTGTGCCTTGCCCTTGGCTCTCTCTTGTCGGAGTTTGCATAGGAGATGTGCCGTTTCGGCTCAATCCGAGATTGCCAAGGCCGATGCGCCACACACTTGCCGAATGTTTTTCTTTGGAGTTCAAGCATTGCTGATTAGCGACTATATCAGACAGGATCCTACCCTTTCCAAGGCCCAGCAAGTCATTGCCAGCAACCCCAAGTGGAGTGACCCAACAGCCAAACTGTCGGTCTTTGTTCCAACTGATGATGTTATCACTGCTGCTGGACTGCCAGCAAACGATCCAGGCTGTGCTACTGTTGAGAGACTCCTCAACTACACCAATGCTACTGAGCCAAATTATGTTGTTGTCCAATCCGACAAGGGAATTTGGTTTGTCTTTGACAACTACACTCCAGGATCACTTACTCCTACCATCCATGTTCGCACAGGTCTTGCTGATGGTCTTGCCCCTAAGCAGTTTATTGCTGATAATGGGTTCTTGTACGTGACCAGCATCGTCATCGGACCGCCAGCCACTTTGGCACAGTCTCTTCCAGCCCAAGGATCTTCCCTGTTCTTGAAAGCGATTCAAGATGCTGGATTGTTGCCAACTTTGGAAGCAGCCCGAAACTTGACGATCTTTTGCCCATCCGATGCAGCTTTCACTGCCGCATCTGCCCAGTTTAATGCTTTGACTGCCTCTCAGAAGAAAGCAGTCCTTCTCTACCACATGTCGTCCACTTTTGCAAGATCAACTGCATTCAGTGCTACCTTGCCTTCTTTGCTTGGACCTAACCTGACCTTGTCTCTCTCTGGTGAGAAAACAACGATTGATGGCAAAGTTGCTGTGACAGTCGCAGATAACTACTGTCAAGCAGGATTTTTGCAGCGTGTTGATGGTGTTTTGATTCCTAGCATCTTGCCAGGACCAAACGATCCAGTGAATCCAGTCGGTATCACGGCTGTCCCAACCACAACTGTTGCTCCAAAGCCTACTCAAGTGGGATCTAACCCAGCAACCATCAGCTCTTCTCCAAATCAAAATGCAGCTGAATTGGTTGCTCCTTTGTGGTCCATGATTCTCGCATTTGCTTTTTGAGACTAAACTATTGTCTCCTTGAACATCTTTCTCTAGTTCCACTCTCACACCACACTTTATCAAACATAGGAAGCAAGATGAGCGGCAGTTGAAACGGAAACTTGAGAAATGGCACTTACCATTTAGCTCATGCAAACCTCACCATATCAGCCAAAAAGTGTGAGAATCGTCCATTTTGTCTCATACAAGCGACAAAATCCCGCAATTGAATGACGTTTCTTTGATGAATTCTAGATTTGGACAAGGTTCGGGCCAAACGAGTCCCACCCTAGAATCACTTGCCAGATCTGCTGCTTCTCCATCTTCTAAAGTGGACTGGCAGTGTGTGAGATGCCAAGTGGATGAGAAGAACACTCCTTTGAAGCGCAAGGGGCCGGATGGGAAAAAGGCAATTGAATTGATGATAGAATCTATGTAATGCTTGCTATATGAGAGGTAGAGCTGCTTTAGAACGCTCGCAACGAGGCTCTGCGCGACCAGATCTCAAGAAACGACCCAAAACGTTGTCAACAGACCCTCTTGGACTAATGAGAAACAGATTTGATGAAAAGTCCAATTTAGAGCTTTTGCAGCTGTTGGGAATGGTCAAAGACACCATGAGGACAAAGCTTCCGATACTTCCAGTCCAAGGCGATAGAAAGTCTCACTAAAGTGTTTGTTTTCTTTTCGACGCGATGGGACAGCGCATCACACGTCCAACGCAAGATAACAATCAGGGTGCTATCACATCCAATGGAACGTACTTCGGCCCACAGTTTGTCTTTCATGCTAACGGTCAAGCTGTCAACGGCAGCACTCCCATGTACTTTGATGAAGTCATGAACATTCTCGCTGCGAATGTGACTGCAGACACTGGTATTCCCGTTCCACAGCTGCCACCTGCTCAGATGCGAACGACAAAGACCTTGAAAGCGTTTGTGAATCTGGTCAAGAACAGCATCAGAGTCAAACCAACAGACAGAGGCACGTCAAGTATTGAGTTCCAGTTTGATGCGCTCAAGCCATGCATGATCAAGATTTACATCCACGGACGCGAATTGTTCCAAAACGACCACGGCAAGACAAGATACAAGTGAGATTGTTGATGATAGAATAGTAGACAAAGCAGGCAACCCAGTGCAGCCATTTGTATTTGGACCATTTCCAGCTGGACTGAACCAAACTTTTGTTGATCGCGAAGGCATCAATCTGGATAATTACAAGAGTGAGGATCTGTATCGAGATCCACAGCAATCACCACTGGCTCAGACACCATCGACGCCACTTTCTGCTGTGTCTCCAAATGCTCCACTGCTTCCAAGTCCTGTTGGTGGCATGGTGACTGCAGGGCCGCTCATGTATCCTGTTGTCATTGCAATTGAAGCCATTGAGACACCAGGAGCACATGCAGACCAGATTGGCAATCTAAACACCCAAACGACTTTTGGCGCATTTGTCCATCCTGAATCTGGTGTTGGCATCAAAATACTCAAGCAATCCATGCTTGTACATGAATTGACACTAGATTGATGGCCAGTCGTTCATGCTCCAAGAGATCTTTGGATTCTCAGAGAACGAAGGAGAGACTGTATCAGTGACTGGCGGTTCGAGAGACTGTGTCGTTTGCATGTCAGATGCCAAGAACACTGTCGTCTTGCCTTGCAGACACTTGTGTCTCTGTGGCTCCTGTGCTGAAGTCTTGAGGATGCAAGGCAGATCGAACAATGGTGTCCAGCAGCGCAATCAGGGACCTCCTCGGTGTCCGATTTGCAGACAGAGTACTAGATTTGACCATAGTCTTCCACTCTTTGCTGCAGATTGAACTGCCTGAGCCATTCGTGACAAGAACAAGCAGACAAAACTCCAAAGTCAAGATTGACATCAACACAGAGCCAAAGACACCAACAATCATGGCAAGTGCTCCTGCTGAAAGCCCACCAGACACTCCCACAAGAATCAATGTCGATCAAATCCAATAAACTGTTTGCATGATTCGAAGAGATGCTCGGCGCAATCTTCGAATGACGTCGTGCACAATTGCACGATCGCGAAACCAACAATGGGACCTCAACAATGGGATTCTTTGCCCATGTCACTACAAACAAGGCACACTGGTGAGTCACATACTGAGCAAGATCCATGCTGTGATCACGAATCTGCAAGAGATTCAGAGTCTTCGTTGGTCAACGTCCCAAGAACACAGCCGCAGGAACGCTCTTTGGGAAGACCTCATTCTTGGAGGTCTCATCACTCTTTGGAAGAGGATTCGATTGAGGAAGAGTCACTTCCAGACTCTGATGAGGAGAGTCAGTCGTCCTCCCAGTCCTCGGGCAAGCGTGTCCAACAGCAGCAAGAGATGCGCAAGCAGATTGTCTTGATCCAGCAGGATACGACCCTGTCAGCAGCTGAAAAGGCAAAACGCGTCCAGGTTTGTGTGCTGACTTTAGGAGCTCATGACCAAGCAGTGGACCAGCAAGCAACAGCAGGAGAAAGTAAGAGACACAAGGCCAGTCAATCGATTGTCTGACAAAAAGCACGATTTTGACACTGTCACAGCCGAGGACCGATGTGTGACCTATCATGTACTTGCTTTGAGTGTAGGCACCGGGCGTCTACGGTTGCAGACATTACCAGAGAGCCTGCAAGCTCCAGGCCCATTGCTGTGGTAAATGGGACACATGCCGGTTCTGTCACGATGAAGTCTCTGACCATACGATCACAAGGTTTTAATTTTGATTTCAGAAACCTGATCAACACGATGATGTGTATGCACTGCAGTACGGTACAGCCTGCCGGACAGGTTTGTATCAATGCAGATTGTGGCAAGAAAGTAGCAGAGTATTACTGCAAAGAGTGCAAGCTCTGGGACAATGACCCGAAAAAGACCATCTACCACTGCTACGACTGCGGCATCTGCAGAATTGGCAAAGGATTGGGGATTGACTACTTTCACTGTCAAACTTGTAACGTTTGTATGGCTATTGGTCTCAAGGGAAGACACAAGTGCATAGAACGCAACCTCGAGAGTGACTGTCCCATCTGTGGCGAGTACATGTTCACATCGACTTCTACGGTGATCTTTATGGTATTTCAACTGATGGCAGCCATGTGGACATTGCATGCATCACAAGTGTCATCAACAGTACATTCAGACGTCTTACCAGTGTCCGACGTGTCTCAAGGCACTTGCAGATATGACAGAGTATCAAGAATGACTCTAGATATTATCAACGGATAGACGCTGCTCTCTTGCAGCACAGGATGCCATCAGAGTACGATGGTACGTTTAGCCACATCTACTGCAACGACTGTGAGAAGCGCAGCCATGCCAAGTTCCACTTTTTATACCACAAATGTGCTCATTGTCTTGGATACAATACCAAAGTCCTCTCAACACTCCAATCCCTGCCTCCGGACGCTCTCATGGCACCACCGCTTGAGAACATGGATCGTCCACCATTGGAGCCAGCAGGATCTTCTTCGTCACTCATTTCTGAATCACCCTCTGTCAACGAATCCATCTCATCATCATCATCTAGTGTCGCATCTGGGTTTTGGTGCCACCAGTGCCAGGTATCACGCATGACATTAGCTTCCAACAGAAACTATCATTGACAGTGGCATCACCAAGTGTCGCCAGTGTCGATCAGAGTTTGTAGAGCATCTATAAAAGCTTTCTGAAGCAATCAAGGTTTCTAGCTTTCTGATGCATTCAAGGTTTACTGACTTTTGCCAAGCAAGTGAGAGCGAATGGCTTCTTGTTGTTGTAGATTGACACCAATAGACACCAGATAGTTCTCAACATTGCCGAATTGCTCCTCAATGTACTGGATGGT